TCACAGACAGGAAGGGCACTTGCTCTTATAGCTCATTTTTTAAAGTCGGCATTCATAGACCTTATGAGATAAAGCATATTTATCATTTATTTCATTGAGAGTAGGTCAAGAAGTTCTAAGCATTCATTTTAGAAGTGTACCTGCCATGTTATTTGTTAGTCTTCTGAGTTTGGACTACAGAAATGAAACCAGTTCCTGACAAATGACAAGAAGAGGAGGAGAGAGGAAAGAAAGGAAGAGAAAGGATGTGGAGATGGGGGAGGGGAAGATGAAAAGGAAGAATGAGAGGGGGAGGAAGGAGGGGGAGGGGGAGGAGGGGAGATACTGGCTGCAGATATGATTTCCTGATGTGCTATTTGGTTTTATTTTTCCATAATCAGTTTTCACGGGAAAGATCACTGCTAACAGCTGCTGAGATGTGACTTTCTGTGTGTCTTCTGTTTCAGCTCACTGCTTTGCTTTCTCTTTTAGGAAGATGGGAAATAGAAGAGCTGAAGGAAGACCAGGTACCCGGCGACCGAGGACTGGTTCTGAAGTCTAAAGCCAAGCACCATGCAATATCTGCCGTCCTCGCCAAACCCTTTGTTTTCTCCGATAAACCTTTGGTAGTTCAGTAAGTTTTAGGACTTTTCAATTTGTGTTAGTTTGGTGTAGTTTGGCATCTGAATGTATGTTAGGTCTTGGTGCTGTGTATAACAAGAAAAATTCCCACATTTCCCTTTCAAGGTTCATATACAAATGTCCATATATATAACCACACCCTGGGCTTTGAGGGGGCAAACAGTTTAGTGATAAACTACACATCACATGTCTTGTATGCACAATTCTGTCACTGTAAAGGATGGTACACTGAAGCCACCACTTTTATCTTAGTTTTTCTAGTTCCTTGCTGATAACAGTCACTTCAGGACACAGAACAGAACCATAAGCCTGGCCAGCTTACCTTCCTGTTCATGCCGAGCCACTCAAGGCAGCAGATTAATTCTAATAGGAAATTGTCCGCAGGTCAGTGTTTTTCGAGCATGGAACTCTTTTGAAAGCTCCATGCTGAAAAGACTTTCTCTTCCCCCTGCACCGACATCAGCCATGTGGTCTGCTTGTGCACTGGCCCAAGGTCAGGCTAAAGGCCCAGCCTTCTCTCACCGGTAGGCTGTGAAGCCGCAAGGAAGCTCTGAAAACCCTTCCCTATTCGGACCATACAAGACAGGAATGTGGCAATTGGCATGGTGTCTGAAACCATCCCAAGTGTGTATGTCCTGCAGAAATAGCGGTAGACCCTGGTCTCCAGACCCCCAGTTCCCCGCTGACGCAGTGAACAGCTCCTTCTTGGGATTTGCTGCAGTCTAGATAAATCCATGTCAGTGGCTATTCACTACTAAGTGAGGACAAGTACCTGAACTAATTAAAATAACATTACAAACACCAAGTGGGACCAGTATCCACATTGGTATTATTTATAACTAATTAGGATTTGGTCTGATTTTTATTTTGCTGATAATTTTTTTTCCTTATTTTCTTCTCTGTAGTGTGTGTGGAGGTGGCGGGGCAGGGGAGGGGGTGCATCGAGTGTGTGTGTGTGTGTGTGTGTGTGTGTGTGTGTGTGCGCGCGCGCGCGCACCATGGAAGCCTGAGACTGATGCTGGGATCATCCTTGATGCAATCCTACCCCGTTCACTGAGACAGAGTCTCTCAATCTGCAACATGTCTCCCTAGCCAGCTTGCGCTGTGAATCCCCTGCCTCCACCTTCTGAGGCTGGAATTACAGGCTGGCCTCCATGTTCACCCAGCGTTTTACATGCATTCCAGGGATCTGAACTCTGTCCTAATGCTTGGGTGTCAGGTGCTTTAACTACTGAGCCATCTCCCCAGCCCTTCCTTGAGACTGTAAGGTAGTCCCACTCTCATTCTCTTAGAAGTTAGATGTATAGAGCATCACTCTATGCACTCTATGAATGTACTATTCATTTGAAAAGGGTTGTACAGGAAACCAATACAAAATTAAAGTTGTCAGGGATAAAATGAATGGAGTGTTTTCTGTGCCAATCACTGACAGGAAAATGATCCCTTGCCAGATAGGAAGCAAACAGAAAAACACATCTAAAAATTTCCCAAACAACTGTGAAATGATTGTTTTGAAAAAAAAATAAAAATAAAGAGGATCAAGAACTGAACAGCAGTCAGATGGGCTGAAATGAAAATATTGTATGTTAAGTGCTGTGATTGGCACATGAATCTGCTGACTTTTGGTTCTTTTCCAGTGTGTGCACATGTCAACACATGTCAAGCGCACCTAGCCTGAGATCTGAAATGCTTTGAAATTTAAAACATGTTTCCAACCTTTGTGATCACTTCTTCATATAATAGCAGCTCTGTACTACTGTTTTTGCTCAATATTTGTTCAAATCTTAATTTTACACATGCTATCTGTGTGGTGTTTGATATTTTAATAGATATGTTATGGTCAGTATGTAATGGAAATTGACATTTCTGTCTCTTTAAACGCTCATCACATCTTTGTGTTGAGACCCTCCCTTCTGGCTCTTTCTAGAACATAAATTATTGTAGTCACCTGCTGCTGCAGAGGGCACCAGAACTTCTTCATCCTCCCTGAGTGTGTTTTGGTCCCCGAGCTTTAGCTTCCTTTTTTCCTTCTTCTCTCTTTCAATTCAAAACCTCTAATGACTCCTTTCACTCCTATAAAACCAATGTTTTACCTCCCAAAAGAGTGAGACCGTGTAGTAAATGTCAAGTTTTTTGTTGGAATTATTTTACTTAATGTGATGCTCCATGGTCCCAGCCATGTCTCTGTGAATAAAAGTTTAATCTTTTTAAGTGGCTGAGCAGTATTCCATTGGGCATATGGACCACCTTTCCCTTACCCAACATCAGTGGTCACCTCAGTTAATCCTGCATCATGGCGATCGATACTAATGCTGAGTAAATGTTGCAAGTGCAGGCATCTCACGGACTGATTACACTTCCTGTGACTATGTTCCCAGTTCTGGGAGAGCTGATAAATGGCTCAGAATGTAGTTCTGGTTTTCATTTGAGAAATCTCGTGCCATTTTTCATAGTGGCTGTATTAATTCATAGTCCCACCATCAATGTATAAGAATTACCCTCTTTGACATCCTAAGCAGTTTTGCATGTTTATTTGTTCTGGGGTGGTTTTTTGGTTTTTGTGTGTTTGTTTTGTTTTGTGTTTTTCTTCATTAAAGCCATTCCAGCTGGGTAAGGTTTGGTTTGTATTTTCCTGATTCACGATAGTACATGTCCTTTAATATACTTTTGCTCATGTGTTTCTTCTTTTGAGAAATGCCTTATAAGCCTATTGCATCTCTTGGTTTTTGAGACAGGGTTTCTCTGTGTCATCCTGCCTGTCCTAGAACTCACTCTACACCAGGCTGGCCTCGAACTCAGAGATCCATCAGCCTCTGCCTCCCCAGTGCTGGGCTTAAAGGCGTGCATATATTTTTAATAGGATTTTTGAGATTTTTTTCATTTTGCTCTTGAGTGTTTCATATAGTTTGAATATTAACAAATTATTTCTAATTTGTACACCTTGTTTTATACTAGCATGTGTTTTTTCCTGGAGAAAGCTCTGGGTCCTACTGGGTAGTCAGTGCTTTTGCAGTTGTTGGTTGACCTGGAATAATTTAAATCCAGTGATGCTTTGCTCAAATGGTCTGTTCCCTGTTAAATTGGGGGTGTTGGAGTTCCCTGCAATTGCTGGTTCTTCTCCTAAGTCTATTTGCATTTACTTGACACACACGCTCCAGTCTCAAGTTCACACCTGTACTGGTTGGGATTTTGTCCTCTTTAACTGACCCCTTTATCATTAGAGTGACTTGTCTCCCTTTACCATTTTTTTTTTGGTTGTTTTTCAAGACAAGGTTTCTCTGTAGCGTTGGTACCTGTCCTGGATATCACTCTGTAGACCGGGCTGGCCTCGAACTCACAGAGATCCGCCTGCCTCTGCCTCCCGAGTGCTGGGATTAAAGGTGTGCCACCACCACCTGGCTTCCCCTTACCATTTTTGACCAAGTCTGTTCTACCTATTTGAGGAGAGTTGTATTCTTCAATTTGAATGGCAGATCTTTTTCTGTCACTTCACATTCCACCTCTGTGAATCTTTTAGTATGCAGAAAACAGTTGGCTCCTCTTCTTGTATTGTTCAGATTTTGTTGTTGTTGTTTGTTTAGTTCATTTTTCTTAAATTTACTCAGCAAGTCTCACTTTTATTGAAGAGTTTGAAATGTTAGTATTCAAGGCTATTGTTACAGGAGATTCTCTAATTTTGTCAATACGTTGTTGTTTTGTAAGTTTTTTATTGTTTGGTTTCTCTCTTACTGTTCATCTCTGATGGTTTAAGGTGTGTGTGTGTGTGTGTGTGTTTGTGTGTGTGTGTGTGTGTGGTCTGTTATGAGTTTTATGCTTTAATGTGCTTCTGTGTTGGCAGCTACTGTCCTTTTGTCTCCAAAGTAGGACCCTGTTACGGATTTCTCGTAAGGCTGGTTTGTGGTGCTGAGCTGACAGAGGTTTGGCTTGCCTTAGGAAGTAATACCTTTCCTGGTTTAAAAGGCCAGCTTTGCCAGCTAAGGTGTTCTTGATTGCCAGCCTTTAGTTTTTATTTTTGTAACCTCTGTGAGTTCACAGTCCCAAACTGTGAGTTCAGTTTGTTTTCTGAACCTGTAGTGTTTCCTACAGTTTCTGCTTCCCAGCCTAGACAGTACTTTTCTCTCATGGTTTTATGAACTTCCTCTTCACATGTTTCAGAATTCAAGTATCATGTGTTTCGGACCCAGTTCCCTTTGGTTGGATTTTCCTGGAGTCCTTTGAACATTCTAGAACTCAGATCAGCTGCCTCTATCATCTTTATATTGTGACTTTGATAGTAACTTACACCTTCCCGGCAGTGAATCCCAGGATGCTGGCTGGGTGGGCCACACTGCCGTTAGTTCCACGTGGACACAGTAACGTGGTGTCATGTAGATCTTTAACCATAAAACCGGTGGTTGCAGGGGTCTCGATGACTTAGGTGGGCAGGGCTTGTGAGGTCACGCTGTCAGCTTGGACGCAGGTGGAGCGTGTTTGGCAGGGCCTGCAGCTACAGGTACCTGCCACATGTGTTTTTTGTGGGCGTGGAGATGCTGCAGTGGGTCTGGGGTGGCATGGTGTAGCACTCTCAGCAGTAGGGAACACATTGATTTCTGGGGGCTTAGCATGGGTCGTGCTTGGGTAGCTGGCAGTCATACAGAGTCCCTAGTCTAGGGACTAGGAGGACGTAGTGGGACATTCTTGCCTACGCTGCAGGATGCTCAGCTGTGTCTAGACTTGTCCATCGCCTCTGAAGGACCTTGGTAGACTGAGGTGGGTGCTCCAGGAGGTTTTGGATGCCTAGATCCTTCTAAGATCTGAGGATTATTGGTTTGACTCAGCTTCTTGTTTGGAGCCTTGGGGGGCCAATCCGTTTAAGCCAAGCTTCTTTCTGTTTTCCAGGATGAGGGTGGGTGGGTAGAATTGCTCACCTGCTTTGTGGGACCACAGGTGGGCAAGTTCTAGGATGGAGCATCTGGGCTGGGCCTGGCGCTGTGAGCTGGCATTTTTTAGGGTAATCCAGTGGTGTGGGTTTCTTGTCAGTTCTCTAAGCTGAGCTGGGGTTGTGAAGGCTGCATTTGGGCTTCTTCTGTAGCAAATAGGCCAGTGCCCACAGCATTAGCTGGCATTGTTGGAAGGCCCATTCTCCACTTTGTGAAGCCCCTTTGGACTCAAAAGTTAGCCTTGGCTCGAGAGAGATGGGATGCTAGACGCCGTGTGCTTCAACCCTTCCTGAGACTGTCCCAGGTCTCCATTTTGCATTTCTATTGTGTCTCTAGTATGCTCCACACTCTCCCTCAAAAGCTCCAATAAATTAGCAATTTTTTCTGTTGTTTTTTTGTTTGTTTGTTTTAAATTTCTCTCAGTTCTCAAAGCACCTAGAACTATCTACTGCTCTGAAGTTTGAAATAGTTTGGGTAACCAAGTGTCTCTCAAAGTGTTTTGGATTTGAAAGCATTTCAGATTTCAGACTGGGGATACCCAGAAGGTAAAGTTCATGCATGGGTCTCAAAGAAACATCCAGCATGTATGTGCTATGTGATCATACAGCTTTTGAAAATTAGAGATGGTCTAGTGTAAGAAGAAAGCACATTAGCCCATGAAAGATATTGAAAAGTTCTACATATAAAAAAATCTGTAGCTTTAATATTATTTCCCCCAAGTATGCTTGACCAGGTAAGTTAGTTTTCTCCTTTAACTGTTTCATATAATGTTTTGGTAGATGATACTCCTGAGAAATCTGAGTTACCAGTCTCAGTTTCCTGCTGGCTTGACGCTTAGCAGCAGTTTCCATATGTGACAAGCGACGTTTTGCTGACCCTCCAGTCCACTGCATATGATTTACACTAGCAAATTAATGTTCACTTTGTTTGTGGGCTTATTTCTAATGGTGCTGGGGATTGAAGGAGGCCTTAGCGTGCGCTGGGCAAATGATCCCCAGCCCTGTTTGTACTTTTTATTTTGTGACAAAATCTCACCACGTTGCACCGGCTGGACTGAACTTTGGGGTCCTCCTGTCTCAGCTTCCCAAGTATCTGAGATTAGAGCCTTTGCAGGTAGGCCTGCAGAGCTGATGTCCAGAAACAGAAAGTTTGCAGGATGAGAAACGAACAGAGTGACTGAGCCTCGGTGTGACGGGACAGCAAGGCCGTGTCCCTGTCTGTAGAGCCAGTTTGTGCTGGAGGACCCTCACCCTTGAGTCACCTGGAATACAGCAATGTCTTTTCTATTGTTGTTTTCCTGGAAACGACAACCTTGAAATCACACCAGGCGTGATTTCTTCTGTTTTGTTCTTCAAAGATATGAGCCCCATGAAGAGACTGTCAAGTTGTGTTTTAAGTAAAACTTAGGCTTTAGGGGAAACAAATCAATTTTTGTTTCTTTATAAACTGTTTTTTAAATTGTTTTTGCTAAGTTCCATAACAGAATGTGACATTTTTAAGCCTTTGTTTCCCTCAAGTTCTTTAGGCGGGTGAGGGCCACACCCTGCATCATAGGTGAGCAGATGGAATCAGAGCTTATTAAAGGATCTGTGCTCACACAGGATGCCAGTGGGGCAGGCGGAAGACTCAAGAAGCAGAGAGTCTGTGCCCAGAGCCCTCTTATGGACAGCTGAGGAAAGAGCCAAGGCAGGGCCTGCCCACGGGCTTGCAAGTTAGACAGAATCACTCAGTCTTTTTTTCTTTTTTCTCTCTTCCTCTCTTTTTGATTCAAATGAGTACATCAATGGGTTTAAGCTGGCAGGTTGTATATGCTTTTTTATTTTTATTTTTGTCTTGTCCCTGAAGTTGCTAGGAAGCATTTAAAACTATAGTCATTCATTAAATAATCAGCACTGCACATAGTTTCTTAATTTTTTCATCTTTTTGTTTCACTTCATATAACAAAACCTTTTCCCCATTATTTTTACTGTTTTTCACTTTGGGAACTACTTTATAGATTTTTTTCACATATGATTCATTAATTTATCAGACACTTAAGCTTTTGCCTTATCATTTTAGCAATACTATTTCTTTAAAAACAACCTAAAACAGAAAAAAAAATTAGCTGAGACTTCTAGTATGTTGTAGATCTGTGAGAGATTTAGGTATTTAGCTGTTACACTAGACAGTGGAAGTTGGCTATTTTTGTGTGAAATACCCCAAGTTTTTTTAATGAAAATCTGAAACTTCTTTGGAGAAATTTATTTCGATAAATTCAAACTATTGAGCATGGTTTAGATGTAGTTGAATTGAAATAAAAATTAGTGGTGGGTTCTGAATCTCCAATGTTATCATCAATTTCTGAGAAAGCTGTTGTAGCTCAGAACATCCAGAATAGAGAGGCCAGGGATTGGCTCAGTAGTAGAGTGCTTACCCAGCTTGTGTGAGGCCCTGGGTTTGATACCCAGCTCCATCAAGAAGGAGACTATAGGGAGAACTTGCCTCATCAGAATGTGAGGTTTCCAGTTGCTGTTCCTGTTAGTTAAAAATCTCTTTATCCTACTGGGCGGTGGTGGTGCATGCCTTTAATCCCAGCACTCGGGAGGCAGAGCCAGACAGATCTCTGTGAGTTCGAGGCCATCCTGGTCTACAGAGATCCAGGACAGGCACCAAAACAACACAGAGAAACCCTGTCTCAAAAAAAAAATAAAATAAAAATAAAAAATTTTACCCTTACCTTAATACTTTGGCTGGGAAAATTATATCACTGGGGTGGTTGGTTTTTCTCTAGTTGGTTGTAATTATTTTAAAATACTTTCATATTTTAACATCATGACTTGAAGCATTAGGTGAGCATTTCTGCTCACCTCCTGTAAGTTGCGGGTATTCTTTCTATGAATGAGCTTGGTAGTAACATAAAATAATTTTGCTTAAAGGAATTGAGAGTGATTCATTATACTTTACAGAACAACAAGTAACTTTTACTTATCAGCAGTGTGGTTCTTTTTCCTCCATTTAGATATGAAGTCAATTTCCAAGATGGTATTGACTGTGGAGGTGCATACATTAAACTGCTAGCAGACACTGATGATTTGATTCTGGTATGACATTTTACTATCTAAGAACACCTTATTAAAGTCAATAAGTATTTTAAGGAGTGGTTGACAACAACTGAAAAGTTCGTTTTCAATTGAAAAAAGTAACTATGTCTTTTTCCAACATGAGTCTACATGGTCTTTACAGTTTGCCTTCAAGATTCATCACACAGCTGCATTACTTGGTGAAGACGTCAGTTCTGTGCTCATTAGTTACATAGACAACTGTGCCCCATCTGCGAATAGAAAAGACGGGTGCTTAGAGATACCGATGAGATGTCAAATTGGAGCTCTTCACAGGCTTCTTCAGAGAAGCACAAAGCAGAAGCGTCCCAAAGCCCACATTAAAAACTGGGCTGTTTCAAGTGTTGGCAAAACACAGAAAAAACTATAGTGGCTGTCCAGTTCTGATAGGCTGGGGGCGTGTCTACAGCTGTCTGCAAAAGAAAAGGCCGCAGTGGGAGCTCTGCCAGGGGTCTGGCTAGAACCGAAGTAAGGAGACCCTGGGTCTTGTTGAGACGGCTTTGCCGTGGGCAAGCTGCAAGGAGCGCATCACAGATTGCTTTCTGAACGGCTGGCTTTAAGGTCAGGCAAAAGAGAGGCATTTGTAGGATGGAGTTAGTGAAGCTCTTGTTCTAGGTCTTGTAGGTCATGGTCTCAGTGGAAGGGTGGCTTGAATCCCTTTACTGCTTTATTGGACTCAGCAAATCCTCAGAGAGCCCTTCTAAGGTAGGAACTGTCATCTCCACATTTGAGATGTGGTAACATGGGGATTCGGAGGGCTCAGAAACTCACTCAGCCACACGCACTTGGTCACGTGGCAGTGGCAACATTGGAGCTACAGTATCTGAGTACAGAATAATGTGCCAGAAGAGCAGGCCCCACAAGGAATGAGATCGAGTTCCTCTCTGTGTCTGAGCACATTTTACTAAGGCTATTTGCTGGGATCTTCCTGAATAATGGCAATGAATAATCCATCACTTTAGTCTGAGGTCATAAATGTGCTTAATTTCCTATGAACTGTTAATGCATATTTGCATAAAGTGTTGAAGCTTTGTTCTGATGCTAAGGCACCAGCTCCTCCCTGCACCTTCAGGAGGGAAGTAGTGTGTGCTTGTCTAAAGGAACACATTACTTTGAAGCAGAAGTTTTCACTTTGCTGTATCCTTTATTGTCATTTGTATTAATTCTTCAACAAGTTGGCTTTTAATATAGTTTATAAACTCCACCCACTGGACAGAATAGAATCACTGACTGCACTATGACTCTGGGCTAATCTGGACCATCATCTCTCTTTGAAGGAAAACTTTTATGATAAAACATCCTATACCATCATGTTTGGACCAGATAAATGTGGAGAAGATTATAAACTTCATCTTATCTTCAGACACAAACATCCCAAAACTGGAGCTTTTGAAGAAAAGCATGCCAAACCTCCAGATGTTGATCTGAAAGAGTTCTTCACAGACAGGAAGACTCACCTCTATACCCTTGGTACACCTTTAATTCATTCATTCATTCATTCAAAAGTACTCTCTGACCACAGAGTTGCTGACGGCTTGTCCTTTTGGGAGAAAACAAACGTCTCTACCTTTAAGAAGTTTATCTTTAGGGGAGACAGTTGTGTCAAATAATAAAACAGGGGAGAAAAGAAAGCCCCCAGCAGAGGTAAGGGGAGTTCAGAAGAGATACCTGAGTGGAAGTCACGTAGTATGCAACTTTCCTGACAATGTTTTGCTGAGTAGGGTTTACATAGGAGAATGTCTGTAGGACAAATGCATTTTTAGGGGTGATATATACTGGGCCAGGAACTCTCACAGTTCGAGTTCTTTGTAATATACTTGCAGCCTTTTTAAGTTTGAGGGTTTTGTTTTAATATGAGGAAGATTGGGTTATATTCTGTAGCTGTAAAAGAGGGACACTTTGTGGCCATGAGTCTCCACCAGGATTAGCTAGATGTTGAGTAGTTTTACCTGTGGAAATCATGGAAATTTTTATTATTTAAAAATGAGTTTAAAACAAATTTTGTCTTTATTTTAGAAAATACTAAGTAGCTAGTGAAAATACAATAATAGCTAGTGATTTCAGCAAGTTTTGATTCAACACACTGGTTTTTCTTGGTTAGGAGAAAATTATATCCATAAAGTTCAGGCCATTTTCGTATTTAGAAGTATCTTTGCAATGTCTGTCTGAATAATAACTATAAAGTATTAAAATTGTTCTCCAGTGATGAATCCGGATGATACATTTGAAATCTTCATTGATCAGAAAGTTGTGAACCAAGGGAGCTTGCTAGAGGATGTGGTCCCACCCATCAACCCACCCAGAGAAATTGACGATCCCAACGATAAGAAACCAGATGAGTGGGATGACAGAGCCAAAATCCCCGACCCCAGCGCAGTCAAGCCGGAGGACTGGTAAGGGGGAGCTCAGCTACCACGTGGTGTCCAGCCTGAACTGGCCCAGGATGGGTGAAGCCTGATCCTAATCAGTCTTAACAACAAAAACCTGGAGTCAGATACAGATGGTAAAAGCTGAAAGATCAGAGAAGCAGAGCAGCAGCCACTAGAGACTTCTTACCTCTAAGAAATCTCAGACCAAATGGGGCGGAGATCTTGTTTCCACCTGCTTTATATTCCTGTCTCCACCTCCCTAGTGCTGGGATTAAGTGTGCGCCATCATGGCCTGGCCTCTACGATTAACTAGTGGCTAGCTCTGTCCTATGATCTCCAGGCAAGCTTTATTTATCAGAACACAAACAAAATATCACAACAAATGGGTCGGTGACATTTATAGCCAATGAAACTCTTTTAACAGCAATACTGTTTGCTTTGATAATTTTGTATGAAATAATTTTCAGAAATGGATGTTGCATTTCCTTATCTTTTTAACTTAAAACTTACTTTAATATTTTTACTTTGTTGCCTTTTTTCATCATGTGTTCATTTTTTTATTATATCAATTCTATGGGAAGATCCATGAGTTTGACATGTCAAGCCTTTCATTTTAATTCCTGGCTTGTTCTTCTTCATATGTGTGTGGTATTCTCTATAGGTGACTATAGAGAACTGGGATTTTGTTTGTTTGGTTGTTTGGTTGGTTAGTTGGTAGGTTGATTGGTTGGTTGGTTTTTTGGTTTTGGTTGGTTGGTTGGTTGGTTTGGGTTTTGGGTTTGGTTTTGGTTTTGGTTGGTTGGTTGGTTTTGGGTTTGGTTTTGGTTTTGGTTAGTTGGTTGGTTGGTTTTGGTTTTAGTTGGTTGGTTGGTTGGTTGGTTGGTTTTGGTTGGTTGATTGGTTGGTTTTGGTTTTGGTTGGTTGATTGGTTGGTTTGGGTTTTGGTTGGTTGGTTGCTTGCTTGCTTGCTTTCGGTTTTGGTTGGTTGGCTGGTTGGTTGTTTTTTATTTTGGTTGGTTGGTTGGTTGGTTGGTTGCTTTTGGTTTTGGTTGGTTGGTTGGTGGTTGGTTGCTTTTGGTTTGGGTTTTGGTTGGTTGGTTGGGTTTTGGTTTTGGTTGGTTGGTTGGTTGGTTTTGGTTTTGGTTTTGGTTGGTTGGTTTTGGTTTTGGTTTTGGTTGGTTGGTTGGTTGGTTGATTGCTTGGTTTTGGTTTTGGTTTGTTAGTTTTGGTTTTGGTTTTGGCTGGTTGGTTGGTTTTGGTTGGTTGGTTTTGGTTGGTTGATTGGTCGTTTTTGGTTTTGGTTGGTTGGTTGGTTGGTTGGGTTTTGTTTGTTTGATTGTTTGACTTGGCTTTAGGTTACCATACTGTCAGCAGTTTACAAAGCCATTGTGGGACTCATCACATCATCATGCCAAAGCACTGTTTCCCTTTACCAGCCCTGTATGTGTGTTATTTCTATTTTGGGGGACTGAAGGTTTTCCTTAACTGAAATGCATTCAGTTGATGAGTCCCCATAGCTTGAGGTTGGATGGTGAGGGATGCCAGCATATCTCTTTCTACCAAGCTAGTCTTTGTCCTTGAGATATGGTTTGTGATTTTCGCATGAAGACCGTGTTCTTTTATTCCTAAGAACCATAGTTTTTTTTTTGTTTTTTTTTTTTTCCTGCTGGCTACATAACTCTTAATTAAGGTTTGCTAAATAGATTATATTTCTTTTTGTATTTAACCACTGTGTTAGGTTGTACTGTGTAACAAATATCCCCAAACATACCAGGCAAAGACAATGCATGCTGATTACTACCTCAGTGGGTTAAGGCAGAGATGTGGAGGAGGCCTGGCTGAGGGTGTCTGCCTCTGGCTTTGAAATGCTGCCACTTCCTAACCAGCTCAAGTGGCCCATTCCCAGGAGGTGTCTGTCCTTCCTTACCTAGCCCTCCCCTTAGGTATGTTCATGGAAGTTTAGATCACACTTCAGAAGCAGTGATCTAAGACAGGAAGACAGCACCCTTGAAATTGCTGCCATATTTTATAACTGGGTCTAGAAATAGCAGGCTGCCGCCTGCTATCCCAGTTGGAAGGAGAATTCACAAAGGTGTAAATACAGATTCCTCAAGTTAAAAAAAAATGTTCCTTGACTCCTATGAGACTATAACATGATTTTACACACTTGTTGAAATGACTGTCCTCTCTGTTTTCTTAGCACAGTGAATTATAGTGACTGGTTGTCTAATGCTGAATAACAGCCCACTTGCTCAGCACTATTATTATCTTTTTTATGTCTTTTGTTGGGCATTTTTTCAGATTCATTGAAGTATAAATTTTGTATTGCCAAATTCATTTGCAGTGCGTGGTTCTATGGGTTCTGATGGACATACCGATGTCTACGGCATTTTCATCTTCCCAGGAGGACCTCACATCCTGCACCACATGAGACTTCCTTCTCTGTAGCTTGGCAAAGCACTGTGTAAAATGGACTCTTCTAGAATCTCTGCCTGTCCCCTGAGCCTGCCCTGTGCTGGCTCCTGCATCTGCAGCAGCTGCCCTGCGCGGGGAATATGTCGTCATCGGTCCATCCGTTCACAAATTGATGGAAAATTGCAGGATTTTCCAGTTTAGTGTAATTACAAGTAAATGTGTGGTCGACATTTACAGACAGAATTTCGGACGGACATAAATTTCTCTTATCAAGGATAAATGCCTAGGAATGGATTTGCTGGACCATTCAGGAAGTGTGTGTGTGTGTGTGTGTGTGTGTGTGTGTGTGTGTGTGTGTGTGTACTGGTGAGAAGCTGTGAGCCTTTCCTGAGGCCTTGTTATTTTGCACCCCACCAGCCTCACACAAGGTTTTCAGCCGCTTTACATTTACAGAGTTCTATTTCTGTTTTTCTTTTGGCCATTCTGAAAAGTCTGCAGTGGAATTCTGTCTGAACTCACATTTCCCTAATCTTGCTCAGTGTGTGGCTTTTACTGCCATTTATATCACTTCTTTGCTGAAATACCGTTTTAGGTTTGTCAAATGTTTTTAGAAATTTCTTATTACTTTATTTTGTGTGCTTGTGTGTATGTGGTGCCTGCCCCACAATGACTGTGTGAAAGTTAGGACAACCCGAGGTAGTTGGTTCTCTCCTTCTATCATGCAGGTCTTGGGGGTTGAACTCAGGTCCACTGTTTGGCCGCAAGCACCTTTACCCACTGAGACATCTGGCTAGCCCTAAAGTGGGTTTCTTGCAGGCAACATGCACTTGGTTCATTCTTCTCTGCTTTCAATGAGTTCTCCCAGCTGTTTTGTGTCTGAAACGTATTTGTATCAGCATAGTTTTTGAAGGGTATTTTCACTAACAACTAAGCACCGCTGGGTGCTGTCTCTGAGAATGCATCCATTTTTGTTTTTGTTTTTGTTTTGAGGCCAGCAGTTCATAATGGCGGGTGGATGATCCCTGCCTAGTGGGCCACTGTTTTCAATTTTAAGGTATTTTCCCACACTACCAGTTTTCAGCGGTGCAGTTTTGCTGTGTTCTGATGTGGATTTCTTTGTCCTCGTGATTGTATTTCTCCAGTTCAGTTCTTTGCTCGTCTTAGAATGTGGACGCGCCATTTGTGTGGCGTGCAGATTGGCTGCTGCTTCACCGAGCATCCTGATCGCTCCCTACATGTATGTTCCACTGCTTGTGTTGTCTCGTGTTTTTTTCTGGGTCTTTGAAAAGTCATTCCCATTTCCTCCAGTCACTTGTTTGTAAACATTGGTGTGACCACCTGTCCAGAACACGGCATGTTGTTCTTAAGAAAACCCAACACGTCAATCCTGCTGATTCAGAGAGATACTGACGGTAGCGGGGCCTTTCCTCTCAGGCAAACTGCTTTACAGAGGGTAGGAGCAGCAGGCTGCGCTAATGGAATCATGTGATGTGTTCGGACTGCCAGAAACAGCAGTGCACCTCCATGCGAACCCACTCCAACTCAGATTTCTGTGCCCAGAAAGAGGACGTTACCCTCAAACTCAAGAAGCTGTAGATGACAGCTTCATGTTTGGTGAAATGTGTGAGACTTGTCTTAGGAGGCGCTAAAAGAAAGGCTGTCGAATGCCAGGATCCGGTTGCTGTGTGTGTTCAGAGACTGACTCTGAGGTCGGGTCAGCTGAGTTTGCGCATCAGCAGAATTGGGTTTAGTCTGTTTTGCAGCTTGAGGTGCGTGTGGGAAGCCATGAATGAGCTGATGACGTCAAGATGTCCACTTTTCCACAGAGGTGGTGTCTCTGTCATTCTCCTGTTCACCATGCTCATGCTCCTCAGGGTTTTCTTCCTAAGTCTGTGTTTCTTTTTAAATTAAAATACTAAAATTAAATATGGAGAGTTTATAATTTTTTTTTAAAATGGCATAGGAGGAATCTTTTTAAGTCTGACATAAATTAGAAAAATCATAAAATGTTAATAAATGCAGCCGCCTGAAAACATATGGTGTGTAAATGGAAAAAGGAACAGCAGCAGACATGTGTTAAAGGCCAGGCATCAAGTTAGAAACCTGTGGCGCAGCACTGGGAAAATATGAGTGGGGCGTCGGGGTGTCATAGCCTTGGCTACATAGAAAGTTCCAGGCTAGCATGGGTGACGTGAGACCCTGCCTAAATAAATAATAACCATATATTTAACAACCAATGCGGACTGGTGAGATGGCTCATCGGGTAACGGTGCCTGCCACTGGACCTGACTGATGGCCAGAATTCCACCCTGGAGCCCATGTAGAAGAGAGAACCAATTCTGCAGGTTAGCCTCTGACCTCCTGTGTGGTCGCAGGAAACACACACACACACACACACAGAGACAGAGAGAGAGAGACAGAGACAGAGAGACAGAGAGACAGAGAGAGACAGAGAGAGACAGAGACAGAGAGACAGAGAGAGAAATAATAAATAAATAAATGTGAATTTTTTTTTTAACCTGAGAAAGTAGAAAGTGGAAAGATTATATTTTTATAGTACATAGCCAGCAAAGGGCCAGTTTCCTAATGTAAAAGAAACAGGCGTCCTAACGAAATAAGAATGGTTTGGAAAGGCACTGGCGCTGCCCTGTGCGCCTGGTTTGGGTGGAGATCCCTAACTCCTGGCTGTCGGGCAGGCTCTTCTGGCTGCATTTCTCGAGCAGCTCCTGTCTGACTTGACTCCCGCCAGGCTTGCCCTCTGAGCTCTGCTTCCAGCTTTCCAAGCTCTTTCCAGACCGAGTCTCCAGACTTTCCCAAGCCCTTCCCACATATGAACAACTTCCAAAGGCCTCTGAACCACACGGTCAGGGTTAGTCATGGAAATGACCGCATTCCTGGGTGCCGGGTTAGTCATGGAAATGACCTCATTCCTGGGTGCCGGGTTAGTCATGGAAATGACCGCATTCCTGGGTGCCAGTTTCTGTGTTAAATTTCCTTCACTGTGACAGAAAACACCCAGGAGTCAACACATAGGAAGAAAGACTTGGGCTCAGTTTCAGCATTTCATGCAAGGTGCCTGGCTCCATTGCTCCTGGGTGTGTTGTCAGGACACCTTGCAAAGGGCCATGTTAGAAACAAAGTTTCCCACATTGTAGCAGCCAGGAAGCAGAGAGGAATCACTTTATAACAAAATCCATTAAATTTGAAATCCATTAAGCTAGGAATCGGAAAACAGATTGATTCATTCATGAAACCAACGCCCTTATGATCCAGTCACCTCCTCAAGACCTCACTCTGAACTTGGCTGCACTGAGAACCAAACCTTCAACACATAAAATCCAAACCATATCAGCAGACATCTAGTACGTAATTTTTGCTGACTGAGCTTGAATGATAAAAGCAAGATTCAGCGTTCTATGTATGCAATGCTATCATTTATATTTAAAAAAAAAAGTGTGCATGGAACACAAGACCACATATGACAAGCAAATGAAGTGTGTGTGTGTGTGTGTGTGTGTGTGTGTGTGTGTGTGTGTGTTGGGGGTGTATGGTGTCATTAGTAGGCACACAAACCAAATGATAGGACAGGACATACTGCTGCAGAACCCTCTGGACATTTTGACCTGTGTATTTAAGAGCTTCCTAAAACAGTGAATACATTGTCATAATGTATTTACAGGGATGAAAATGAACCTGCCCAAATAGAAGACTCAAGTGCTGTTAAACCTGATGGCTGGCTTGATGATGAACCAAAGTTTATCCCCAATCCTAGTGCCAAGAAGCCTGATGATTGGTAAGCATTCTTCAATTCCAGGAAAGGTGTCAAGTGAATCCTGATTATCTACTAATTGTCACTACTGGAGGCTAATAGATTCCCTCTGCTCTAATAACTTCAGGAGTGATGACATGGATGGAGAATGGGAGGCACCACATATGCCCAATCCAGCCTGTCAGATTGGATGTGGCGAGTGGAAACCTCCTATGATAGATAACCCAAAATACAAAGGAGTCTGGAAACCGCCAATGATCAATAATCCTAGCTACCAGGTAATGACCACTGTCTCAGTTCTGTAATCAGGCGATCCTCACCAATGTTCTGTTAGCTTTTAGAAGTTTGATTTGTAGCTTATGAAGTCAAAGAAAGTCAACTAATTTAGGGTAGGTAAAGAAGAGGGGACACATGGATCTCCCTGGGATGGGGAAATGGATTTTACAGATGGACTGGGGGTGGGTGGGGACAGGAGTGGAGTGGTCAGGAGGGAGAAGGTGGTGTATAGGGAGAGAGTGCGGGGAGAGACTGCTGGAATTGGGGGACATTTGGGGTGATGTGGAAACCTAGTGTAGTGGAAACTTCCTGGAATTAATGAAGGCGATCCTATTAAGGACCCCTAGTAATGGGGATACGGAGTCTTAAATAGACATCTCTTGTCACCAGTGAGGCCTCCAGTGACAGGACTGAGTTGCATTCAATTGAATTGTTGGCCAAGGGGACCATGGAAATCCTTAAACAACCCCAACTGTTGCTAAGACAAATGGTTGCTCTCCAAAGACTGACAAGGGGGGGGGCATATTGCTAAAGACAACACCCACACAACTCATTGAACATGGAGAAGTCATCTTTTTGGTGCTGGTGGGGAGATGTACTTTGCTGGCTACTAAAAGAAAATCAAAGATACCAACCTAGCCACAAAACCTTTGACCTACAATCTGTCTTCCTGCAAAATATGCTGGGGCAATGGTGGCACAGAGCTTGTGGGAGTGGCCAGTCAATGTCTGACTTGACTTAAGGCCTGCTCCATGAGAAGGAACCCATACCCAGCACTGCTTGGGTAACCAAGAACCAGAGACTAGATAGTCCAGAGGCCTAGGGTATAACCAAACACTACTGGCCTTAAAAATAAAGTATCAATTTAAAAAAAAGAAAGAAAGAAAATGTAGCAGCCAGGTGGTGGTGCATGCCTTTAATCCCAGCACTTGAGAAGCAGAGAAAGGTGGATCTCTGAGAGTTCGAGCTTGGTCTACATGGTGAGTTCCAGGACAGCCAAGCAGCCAGGCTATATAGAGAAACCCTGTCTCATTCACAGCATTTATCACAAAGTGTGTGTGTGCGCGAGCGCGCGTGTGTGTGTGTGTGTGTGTGTGTGTGTGTGTGTGTGTGTGTGTGTGTGTGTGATGCCCTTCATCTTATTGTTTTTGAAAAAGTGTCTGTGATTGAACCTGGAGCTTTCTGATTCAAATAGACAGGCTGCCAGCAAACCCCAGGGTTGCCCTGGCCCGTCTCCTCAGGTCTTTGATTACAGGCCTCTCCTACAGTACCTACTTCCTAAATGGGGCTGAAGACTGACCTCGAACCCTCCTGCCTCACACAGGGGCAAGCACTTTACCAACTGAGCCGTCTCCCGTCCCTTAGGAAAGGTTTCTTCTGTTCCTTTTTGTTTGTTTAATGGCGTCACTTTAACATTGTCTTCATATGTTGTTCCTTCCAGGGAATCTGGAGTCCTCAGAAGATCCCTAACCCCGATTATTTTGAGGATGACCACCCATTCCTTCTGACTTCTTTCAGTGCTCTGGGCTTAGAGCTTTGGTCCATGACTCCCAACATCTACTTTGATAATTTTATCATCTGTTCAGAAAAGGAGGTGGCAGACCGCTGGGCCGAAGACGGCTGGGAACCGAAGATAATGGTGGCGAATGCTAACGAGGTACGGTGGTGACCGCGGGGTGCGCCCAGAGGCAGCGGCCACCCAGTGCCAAGGAGACGGACTTGCACACATTCTGCAGACAGACTCAGCTTTTCTGTGTAGACTATGGGGTAAACTCAGCGTGCACCTGAGTCCTATGTCCTTGTTTCATTTGTTAAATTACAGAAGCTCTAATGAGATTCAAAGCCTACTTGTGGCTTATAGCAATAGGAAATACTCCTTTGTGTTTTGATGATGGCAGTGCAAGCCTAAGGTTTAGCACTAAACTAAATGCATTTCAAGTGTTTTCACTAGAGAAATCCCGAGAACTCTAAAGCCCCCATGATTATTCATCTCTGCTGCAGTGTTGTACACTCCAGATAGCTGGCCTGTGAGCCTCCAGAAACTGTCTCCACCTCCCACCACACCATGGGGGCTCTGGTCATTGATGCAGGCCACTGCATCCAGCATTTTCTGCCTGTGCCAGGAACGGACCTGCGTGTTAGGCATCTTTATCTGCCAAACCATTCACCTACCCCCATTTGGTTTCTTTAGACACCTGATTGTCACAAGTAAAATATATTGTGACCTCAGATTTTATGTTACAAAAATAATATTCATGCACAAGGGCCACTTGTGGAATTGTTCATATAAAAAGAAAAAGAAAAAAACAATAATCCCCGGGTGATTTTATTAGTAAATTCTTTAAATAACAGAATGTCTTATCAAAGGGATCTTTTTCTTCTTTTTCATTTTTGGTGTGGATGTGTAGTATAGTGGTGTGTGGGGGTGGGGTGGGGTGGGGGGGTGGTATCAAATCTGTATTTCCCAGTGGAAGTTTGTAAAGGTTCTGTGCTGATCTCTCCCACAGCCCGGTATGCTCAAACAGCTAACCACAGCAGCAGAGGAGCACCCGTGGCTCTGGCTCATGTACCTTGTGATGGCTGGGTTGCCCATAGCATTAGTTACTTCGTTTTTTTGGCCAAGAAAAGTAAAGGTAAAGAAAACACACTTTTTCAACTTGGTTTTTCAGACTTGCTTGTGTTCCAGAGTTGTATAAATCAGGCAGTGTAATGAATCCAATATAGATGCAATGAATTCAGTTTCCTGTAAGATTTAATGAAAGTTTATTATGTACCTTGACAGTTAGTGCAAAAAATTGGTAGATAAATGGCATGATGAAGAGGACGCACATTGTCCATTTCAGTAATTGGTGTCTGTGCACTAAGAAAATAAAATAAAAATAGTGCTTTGCTTTTAGTAAAAACAGTTTTTGTTAAACTACCACAGAAAAAATATGAAGACACGGGTCCTAAGACAACTGACATATGTAAACCACAGACCAAGGCAGCTCTGGAACAAGGGGCAGAGGAGGAGAAGGCCCCAGAGAAGCCAGAAGATTTGGAAGAGGAAAAGCAGCCCAGTGACGGTGACATGGTCATTGTTGAAAAGGGTGAGGCTGTGCTGTGACTTGTGACAGACACTGTCCTGCTGGCGCTGACACATTTGAACCGCCAAGAGCAGGTGCCTGGCAGTGGGGATCGGCAGTCCTCTGAGAGGACAGCCCTTGAGCAGACAGTCTCCACTGCCTGTCCACAGCCACAGCCTCCTGGGCTTCGGAGACTCCTTGACTCTGAGAGTAGAGATGAGCTGCTGTTTACACACAATTGCTGTGTGACCAGACATACCCTCACCCCAGCTGGGGCACCCACAGTACCACAAGGTTCCCCCAAATCGAGCTAGTGCGTACCTGGGGTTCCTAACAGGCACACGGGTGACTCAAAGGCAGTGTGCATGTGTGCGCACATGTATGTCATGGACCACACATGGAAGTCAGAGGACAACTTGCAGGACTAAGTTCTTTAAAAAAAGAATGTGTGTGTCTGTGTGTATCTGAGTGTGTGTGTGTGTGTGTGTGTGTGTGTGTGTGTGTGTGTGTGTGTGAATTCTTTAGGTTGTAGGTTCTCAGCGCCTTTGTAACTTACTAGTGCTTTATGTTGGTGTGTCTGTCTAGAGGGTATTCACAAATAACTAATTTGTGAATACTTCAATATCAATGGGGCCTTATTTTAGAAGGCAGTTTCGCCTTTCCCCACTGTCCCACACTATGCATGTGGAAATACGTGTAGAAGGCAGAGGTGACATGTATCACCTTTCATTTCCTCAAACCTAATTTTTGGTAAAGTGAGTTTTTACTTTGTACTCTCTCAAGACATGCTCTCTATTCTGTGTGTGGAGGCCTTCTCCTCCTCTGCCTCTCTGTCCTTCTCCTCCTCTGCCTCTCTGTCCTCCTCCTCCTCTGCCTCTCTGTCCTTCTCCCCTGCCGCGCTCCCCACTTCCTCCCTGTCTTTTCATAATGACGGTGACAAAGTTGGAGATTTGGCTAAAGAGAATCCATAGGAGAATCAGTGGAGAAAAGGCAGATGGCAAGGCCCGCAGGGTACAAGATAATTCAGACAGCAAGCTGGGGACACAGGGGTCACCTCAGTGAAGACATGTCACTGAGTCATGCCTACCAGACAGCTGAGAATTATTTGGACTTTGTATATTGTATAATAATAATTTTAGAAATATGCCCTTTGCTTCAAAAAGATGGTTTTTTATAAGTGTAAAATAATAAGTATTTACAATTAGCTGGTTTTTTTTTTCTTTTCAGTTTTGAAGGGTAGAAGTTGCTTTTTAATTGTGGAATTTAAATTAATCTCCCTTAATTTTTCTTAAAACTTTTCAGTAGCAAAATCCTAACTCATGGGTCTCTGCCTTTAATAAAATCTGTATTCTAGTAGAGAAAGTTGGTGAACCGGAAGAGAAGAGAGAAGAACAGGAAACCATAGAAGGGCAGGAGGAAATGAACAAACTGAATAAATCTGGATCAGAGGACGAGGTAAGCCTCGTGACAGGAACAAGCTTCCACCATGCTTCCCCCGTTTTCTTGACTAAGTGCCTCCTGACATTTGAAAACAAACTGATAGAGAAGGCAGAAAAGCACTGTGACATGTTGTCATCCTGACATGTGATGGAGGCGCACTCCACCTGAGCTGCACACAATGGAAAAGCAGACCGCACTGGAAAAAATGACCGTAACTCTCTCGGTAAAGACAGACGAGGTCACGAGCGTTTAAAAGGCAGTCCTCCCGCTGAAAAGACTGTTGTCTCAACCCACCCTCTAGTCTTTTCACGTGTATATTTGTCAGTAAGCTAAACTATTTTTGAATCGCATAATTTGGAGAAATAACTTGGTGTGCTGCTGGGAGAACTGTGAAGTGACTTCAGCGGCGTCCTATCTCCATGCATGCATTTTGTTCTTAAAGTTTGCTGTTAGGTACAAACACATTCCGAAAGGTAAAGAAAGGAGAGAAAACTGTGAAGACATTATGTTTTCTTCCTCTCCTAATTTTTCTGGAAGCTTTTATTCCAGAAGTTCTGATCTCTGTAAAACGAGCTCAGGGTTCATTACTCACAGAAACAGTGTGTGAGCAGTTTAATCCCTCAGCAGGAATCACACAACTATTTCCTATGAGATCGAGACCATGTTCTGAGTCATAAATAAAACTTGCTGCAGGAGCAGGCAGTAGAGGTCTTTGCCACATGCTTATCTGATAAGCAGGGTTCTTTTGAAAATGTCATCAGGCCAGCTGTAAATGAATAAGACATCAAGGCAGCTTCATGAAGTACAGGAGCCTGTGTAACACAGCGTTGGGTGGCCAGAGCACACATTCGAAAGGACGAGAAAAAAGCATACTGCTGCCCACTAGTTAAGGTTATGTGAAAGGAACGTTTCCTCGTTCATTGTTTTCCAGATGAAAGAAGCCGACGAGAGCACAGGGTCTGGGGACGCACCAGTGAAGTCATTACGCAAGAGGAGGGTACGGAAGGACTGATGTGTGTCAAGTGTTTCAAATCCCCGAGACAGAGCTGGCATTCTGCAGTTAGCGTGCCCAAAAGGACAGTGAATCCACCTGCACAAACTCTTTCTAAATATCTAGCAATGTTACTTTTTCAGATACTTCTTTCTTTCTTTCTTTTTGTGGGGGGAAAGTAACTTTGAAGTTAACTGGTCTTTGAATTTAGAATAAAAGAAAAGTGGCACATTACATGAGATCCAAGAGATTAATATCCTTAGAAGTTACAGTTTTAATAGTTGGAAGATAGGTTTGGTTTTGTAGATCAAAATCACATGTAGCCATCACACCTGCTATTGGAAATGTCAACTATTGGACTTTCCATTTAAATGGCTATGGAAGAAGATACAGGTTAGTTTTATAATAAAATTCAAGTATGCTCTGTCGTACAGACTGAAGGTAACGGAGTTCCTGTGTGATCGTTTGATGCTGTTGGATGGGACCCACACTTACTTTGCCTATGTCACACTATGGTTAGGGTCAGTTCACGTAGAGATTCCTTGACGAGGTGCTGTGTTGACAGGCATGTCAACTGAACAAATGTTTAAGGGTCACTCATGCAATCACTGGGTAATATGCAAGCATATTCTATACGTGAACACAGATAACGGGCTTGTCAAAACCAAATAATGTACAGATTTTTGTTCAAGCTTTTGTAGCCACTTCATGCCCAAATGGCTTATCTCATTCATAAAACTGTGTGCACACACTGCTCTTGAAAATAAAATTTAAATATTTTTCTCATTTAATTTTTTTTTCAAGATAGGGTTTTTCTGTGTAGCTCTGACCATCCTGAAACTTGCTCCGTAGACCAGGCTGGCCTCAAATTCACACAGATCCGCCTGCCTCTGCCTCCTGAGTGCTGGGATTAAAGGCGTGCACCACTGCTCGACATTATTTTTCTCATTTAAATTATGACCCTCTCTATGAGTTATTACTGGAGAGGCTTCATTTATTATTGTAGGATTCTAATGGTTAAATCCAATTCTTTAGCTCTGTCCTTCTGCCATGATTTTCTGCTAACGAGGTCACATGTATTCTGAGTCTGTTGTCTGAAGTGGGTGCCCAGACAAGTCCCTTTTCCACAGTATTCCACCTACAATGTTTTATTGAAGAACATTTACACTTAAGTAACATGTGTCAGTCCTTTGAAGGGCCACTCAAGTCTACACAAGGACTAGAGGGTGACTTTAATACTGAGTCCCTGTGGAACTTTGATGAGTTGGGGTTTGTTTTGTAGACATGCACACCCCACCTTTCGGCAGCTCCTTTGGATAGGTTATGTTCAGAACTCACACACTGGAAATCCCCTTAGATGAGGAATTCCACCTCATCTCCCTAAAGGAGACTGAGCAGAGCCGGTGAGACTGTTTGCATCTTTCGGAGAGTTGTGGAGGTAGAGCGATTTTCCCCATGGCCGTGTTCTAACATTCATAAACTCTTGGGTGGATTTTTAACATGTATGCAGGTCCCCTGGAGACCCAGAGAAGGCATTGGATGTCTTGGAACTGGAGTTACAGAAGGTCGTGAGCTTCCATGTTGGTCCTGGGAACTAAACTTGGGTCCTCTGCAAGAGCAGCTCATGCTTAATGGCTGAGCCAGCTCTCCAGCCTCTGCTTCTTTTCCTTGAAAATACTCTTCAGCAAGGCTCACTTCCATTGGCCATTTCTCTAGGATGACATCAGTGTTGTTAGGATCAGTGTCAGTCTCCTTTGGAGGGACACAGTGGAAGTATTAGTGTGGGATGAGCCGCTGTGGTGGATTCAGTGTACCAGAGAATCTAGAATTCTCAAAACGGCTTCACTGGGCCAAGGGGTGGCACTGGGGGGTAAAAGTGCATGCCATGTGGGCAGGTGACTTGAGTCCAATCCAAGGATCTAAAAGTGGAAAGAGAAGGAGAGATCTGAGTTCCAAAGTGTCCTCTGAAGAGGCACACTCGTGAATGTGCGTGCATGCACACATGAGTGTAAAATTATTTTGTATACAGTAGAAACTGTTCAGAACAGTCAACACATAACTCACACTCTGGACACCCACCTGTGAGGTTCTTGTTCAGATTTTCGTTGTATGTTTTACCTTTAGCAAGATGTAAAGATGAGATATCAGCTGACAGACAATTTCTCTAAATCTGTTATATAAATAATTTATATAAAAATATTTCAAACCATCTCATTTATTCCCAAATCATATAGGTCCCATACTTTCCTATAGTATGAAGAGGTTAGGAAATGAAGCTGACTTCATTTTTTCCTACTGCTGTGATAAGACATGACCAAGGAAATTTACAAAAGAGTTTAATTTGGGTTTAGGGTTTCCGAGGATCACAGGCTATGATTTCAGGGCAAAGGCATGGCACCAGGATCAGCTGAAGTAGGAGGCAGAGAGCACACTGGGAATGGCACGTGTCTCAGGGTTTCTATTGCTGTGACGAAACACCACGACCAAACAGCAAGTTGGGGAGGAAAGGGTTTATTTGGCTTACACTTCAGCATTGCTGTTCATCACTGAAGCAAGTCAGGACAGGAACTCAAACAGGGCAGGATCCTGGATTCAGAAGCTGATTCGGAGGCCATGGAGGGGTGCTGCTTACTGGCTTGCTTCCCCTTGCTTGCTCAGCATGCTTTCTTGTAGAACCCAGAACCAGCAGCCCAGGGATGGCACCACCCACCGTGGGCAGGCCTTCCCTCATTGATCACTAACTGAAAAAATTCCTTACAGCTGGATCTCATGGAAACATTTCCTCAGCAGAGGCTCCTTCTCTGATGGCTCTAGCTTGTGTCAAGTTGACACACAAAACCAGCCAGTGCAGCACAAGTCTTTTGAAAACTCAAAGCCCACTTCCTAGTGATACAACCTCCTCCAACAAGATCATACCTCCCAATCCTTCCCAAACAGTTCCACCATCTGAGGACCAAGTATTCAAATATGAATGCTTATGGGAGTCATTCTCACTCACACCACCACAGAAACCATCTCCTCTTGCCAGGTTAGACGAGGCAAGCTGATGGGAGAAAACATAAACCTGGGAACTCCCTAGAGCTGTGGCTACAGGAGGTTGTGAGATCCCATGCAAGTAAGTGCTGGGAACTTTGCAAGAATGGTGTGAGCTTAACCACTAAGCCTTCTCTCCACCCCCTTTGGAAACATTTAGTCTGTCTCTAAGACCCCAGTACACAGAACAGTAAGGGAAGTCCTGAAAATGATAGGCACTAGGACAACTAGAAAACCATCTTTAGGGGCTGGAGTGATGGCTCAGTGGTTAAGAGCACCAGCTGCTCTACCAGAGGACCCGGGTTCAACTCCCATCACCCACATGGCAGCTAACAACTGTCTGTAACTCTAAAATCTGACACCTTCACACAGACATACATGCACATAAAAAATAAAGATAATAAATTGAAAAAAAAGAAAAGAAAACCATCTTTATAATAACAGACACTTGATAAAGCTTCTGGAAACCTTAAAACAAGATAAACACTGTTGAACTGATCACGCTGCGTGACCCCAGCTTCTGTCATAGTCCTCTCCCTATGTTGTAAGACAAACTCTGAGCTGAGTATGGAGGCACACGCCTTCGATATCAGCACTCGGGAGGCAGAGATAGATGGATCTCTGTGCATCTGAGGCCACTCTGGTCTACACGGTGAGTTCTAGACCAGCCAGGGCTACATTGCGAGACCTTGTCATAGAGTCAACTTAAGTCTCTGTTATAGTAAATTTGTCATTTAAATTCCATTAATCTCTAATTTTAGTGGAGTCAATTGTAGTTTGTTTTCTAGATGAAGTATCTAAGAGGCAATGATATCATTCTTTTGTCCATGTCTTAAACAGCTGTCCACGTGACAGTCTCTCCTTACAAGCAAGCTTAAGAATGAAAACAACCTCTTGTAATCGGAGCCTTGTCTCCCCGGCCTGCCTGTTCCCAAATTCCCATCAGCCACTTCCCAAATTACCACACTGAGGCTTATATTAATTCTAAATGTTTGGCTGATTTCTCAGGCTTATTACTATCTCTTATATTAAATTAACCCATTTCTATTTCTCTATGTATTGCCACATGGCCGTGGCTTTACCGGTTCTCTGGCATCTTGCTTCTTGGGTAGCTGGCTCAAGTCTCCCCTGACTCGGCTCCTCCTCATCCTAATCCTCAGTTTGATTGTTCCACCTTGTGGGATGACTCATCCCTAAGGGGCTTGAGGGCTAGACAGCCCAAACAGGTAAAAAAGATACTTTCTGAGAGCCAGCCTGGGTCTGCCTGATGGTCTTAGCAACAGCAGCTGAAACATGATCTGGAGATGACCTGGACCAATGAGAGGCAGCCATGTCACACCAGCTGATGCATATTCATCAGACCTCCCCCCAGGGTGAGGTGGAGGGTATATAAGGCTTGCCTCTTCCCGAATAAATTGAGCTTGTTGTTTAGACATTCTCCTGGACTCTGTGTGGTTTGACTCTGTGCCTACTTGGCCCCTGCCCCCAAAGGGAACAACAACAAGGACCCTGCAACACCACCTAACCTTATCCTGCCTGGCTATTGGTCAAACAGCTTTATTATTATCCAATGAGAGTGATGCATATTCACAGCATACAAACTCTGAGACTTGGTGGTGGTCATCTTGGTTAAGACAGCATTGTTAAGTTCCTGGTGACAATCAGGGGTGGGCACTAACTCAGGTTTAACTTGAAGCACTATTGGGCAAAGTAAAGCTTGCAGCTAAAGAATTAAGAACCACTGCTCTTTGCTTCTGGCCATTAATTAATCTTAGGTCCTAAAAGTCTACTCTCACTTTTTTTCTTTTGGTTTTCTGAGATATAGTTTCTCTGTGAGGCCTGGCTGTCCTAGGACTCATTCTGTAGACCAGGCTGGCCTCGAACTCACAGAGATCCTCCTGCCTCTGTCTCCTGAGTGCTGGGATTAAAGGTGAATGCCACCACTGCCTGGCTCTACTCTCACTTTTATCCTATGAAAGAACCACATATTAAAGGGAAAGAACTGGCCAGGAATAAAGGTGAGGTGTTGGGACCTGAGGAAGGAGGTCCCCAAGTGATTTCAGCTACTTCTACATCACAAGAGTTTGTTTCTTTAAGGACAGTTCGAGAAGAAAAGTCCATCTCTGTACAAGTGACTTCACCACCTTGACACGAAAACTCACTTGGCAGCCTGCCCACCCTGACCTCCCTTTCATGTGCAC